TCAAAGCAATATTGGAAGTAAAAGTGTTTTCAGGATCCTTTTACCAATAACTGGGTGATTTCTTGTTCAAGTGCTCAGTTGCCAAACTTGGAATTTCAAGCACGTGTTTTTGAAGTCAGTAAAATGAGATTTAATCCATATGAAAGACTAGCATTTTACAAAGGTTTTAGGTAGCATGGCCCCTGATCTAGGAAGGAAAATCAACAGTAGCAACTAGCAAACAATCAAATATTATAGCCAAAAATAAAAACATATATTTTTTCTTGTTTTGGAAATTGGAATAGGCCACACCAAATCCAACTTTGCCAAAAGCTTTTGCAAAAAAAAAAAATTGTAAATGAAGGCCAGTGTATTTTCTTAATCAAAGCAAAGTTGAACTTATAATCAATTCTCAATACAAGGAAAGTGAGAATGATCAAAGTAAAAACAAAGCACCTTTACCACAAGTATCTAGTTTAGATACAATAAGATGACCATAGGAATCCACACTTCCCAAGATTAAGAAACCATGACCTGAAAAGCATAGCAAGTTTAAATTCAGATTTGACATACTGGTGCAAATTATGCTGGAAGAAACATTTTATTGTAATTTATAATGTAGCTAAACAAAGTACTAAAGGAAGAATCATGATTCAAAATCACATACTCTCTGCATCGGCAAGAACAATACTCTGAATTTCTGAACGATGAGGGCAGCGGTTGACTAACGAAGAGGCAATAATCTACAAATGGACATATAGAAAACATGATTACAACATAAAGCATGTACATTTGCTTTACGATAAATGAGACTCTTTACCTCAGTGTGTTCAGGTATCAAAAGGCTGTCTTTCCCTTTGGTCACTGAAGATTCTTCCAGAGCAACCTAGAGATTAAATACGAACTCGAGTGACTTAAAAAGAAACCATCGATTGTAGAATTAGAATCAGTGATACTTTGCATTTTAAATCATGATACAAATTCCACTGATAAACAACAATAGTCACTCCCCAACAATATTATTCAGTCCCAAGTCTCTAGTATACCATCACCGATTTCGATGCATCTTAGGTGGTGGTGTTTGGTATAAAGAATGTTTTCTAGCTAGGGATGTGATACATAAGTTCCATTCCATGTTTAGTTGCAATGTTTGCTTGATATAAAACATTCCACACAATATGATTGATTTTTCAAAAATACCCTTATTGAAGAAATATAAGGTTTGAAGGAGTTGGACACAAAACTCATTTCACACTAAAAATTTGGTCTTTTCCTCAGACCCAACATTTCCACCTTCTTAATTTCATATTTCTAGGAATTTCACTTTCCCAAACATTTTTTTCCTAAATTTTCACCAACCCCATGACATCTCATATCCCCAATTGAGATTCCTAGAAATGTAGAAACATTCTTTACATAACCTTAAACATTGTTACTATCAAAACACCCGAGACATGGCACGTTACATAAGGGGATTTTGACTACACATGACTACAAAGTAAAGAGAGAGAAATCAAAACTTCAAAACCATGATGACCCAACAGAGACCAATAAATGAATTGCTAAGAGTAAGATAGAAAAGCATACGTTGATGTTATAAATGTGAGAACCAGAGGCAATGTAGATAAAACAAGAACATGGGTCATCTTGGCTAACCTGAAAGAGAAGTAAATAAAGAAAGTTAGAGTCTTTGAATGAGAAAAAAGAGAAAAAAAGAGAGAGAATTAAGTAGTAAAGATACATGAAGAGCAAGACGAGTAGATTGAAGGCTTCCAGGTGAAGGATTCTGAAGAAGAGTGGAAGGAACTATTGCTTTTTTCACACACTTTGCCTCCAACATTACTTTCTCTGTTTCAGTTCCCGACACTACAGAGTCAAATGGTGACAACATAAGACTCAGAATTACTCATGTCATGGGTTTTTACTTGTTCCACTTGGGCCTATTAATTGTTCATGTTCTTCACTATATAAAAGAATGTTAATCCTAATTTTGTTGTTCAATGTAATCTTATATTAAAACCGTTTCGTGTCGGCCGGTTTAACCCGTCCTAATACCGGTACGATGCAATAATTATACCGGTCATGCAATTATACCGATAAAAACTGGTCAAAATCGATAAAAATCGGTCATACTGGTCGGTTTTCAATTGAACTGTACCGGTCATACTGGTCAATTTTATTTAAAATTAATCTTTTAATGAAAATAAAAATAATTATTGTTTTTTATTGATTTTTCAACATTAATGTTAATATATTATATATGTATATTTAACTTTACCGTATGCAGTTTAATTAATAAACCACCGATTAAACTACTGTACCAGTACCCCTACCGGTTTGATGACCGGTACGATATTAATAACACTCGATCTTACTTCTATTAATCACAAGTCAAATGAAGATTATTTAATTCTAAAATTTTATCCTTGTGTGTTCAGATTAATCTATAATTTTATTTTGATGGCTTTTAATCCTCTAATTGTTTAACATGCATCATTAATCTCACTTAAAGTTGGAAGTTAATCATACATTGGCATAAATAATCTCCTTCACTTTATCATATTGCAGCCTTAAGTCTAACTTATTTAACTTTATAATATTGCCTTAAAATTGACAAGCCAAATTCATACATGATTTACATTTTATTTATTTATTTTATGTATACATTATATAAAATAATTAATATAAACATATAATTTTAAATTATATAGGTCTGGTTTATTAATTTTAATAGAATTTTTTAACAAGTTTGGACCTAACATATTTATTTTAAATAGGTTTTTTAAAAAATTTGGGCATGTGCTTCACCAATTATTAAAAAGACATGGTTTACCATATATCAAGTATCAAGTCCCTGGTAAGGGGGAAAAACATATTTCAACCATTATGAGTGATGATAGCAAACCACTTAATATTTTGACATACAAGTTTTATGCTTACTTAATATGTTAATTAGTAAAATAAAAGGAATTAATATACACATTGTAACATTCTTTTTACAATATTAGTTCATCATTTAAATAAAATTGATATATATGAAAAATATATGATATATTAATCGTATAGAAAACTTTATACAAATGATGCATATATAACTCAAAATAAAACTCACACACGAAAAATAAAACCAAAATTTACACCAACTTTATAAGTGTTACTTGAGGAGATAGATAGGCTTCTTTCCATTGTGGCTAGTATGTATATATACTAGTTATTACGTATTGCTTCATTAAAGTCAATTTAATACAGTACAAATGAGTAAAAATAAAAAATAATGCTGAACAAACAATTTGAAATAATAAAATTGAATAACATGTAATTTGTGGAGAAAAAAAAGGTAAAAAAAGTGATTGAATGAGAGAAAAGTCTTATGCATGAGTTCTTCAATTTGTAAAAATTTTATATGTGAAAAATTAAACATAAAAAAGTTATGAAAAATGTATATAAAATGTTAACTTGCGACAAAAATTAAATGAGTGAGTAAAATTAGTATATTATTACAAAGTGTTACAATAAAAATAACACAAATCGAACAATTTGAAATTATGAAATTAATGGCATGCATAAGGTTATTGGAAGAATGAATATTTTACCCATAAAGAATTAAATATTAAGAAGTTGTGAAGAATATATAAAAAATGTTAACTTGTGACAAATAGTAAAATGAGTGACTAAAAGAGAAAGAAAATGTTAAAAAATTCTTACCCATAAAAAGGTTGGGTGATGTTAGTAAAAATTGAACCATAATTTCTAATGTAGTAATTGGTATGTAATTATTAATTGGATATGATAACAAAAAAAATAGGATATATAACCTAATTTTTTTATTGGATTTAGCATTCAATCTTTTTGACATACAGTCTAGGGTAAAACAGGTCAGTAAAATATAAATGGAATTTTATGATCAATTTGTCATCTTATCTTAATCAATTTTTTTATATGCACTAACCAAGGTATAATATACTAAATTTAAGATTTTAAATGAATAGTTTTTCTCACACTTCCCATAATTTGATTAAACTTATTCTTTTAATACAACTTTAAAATTTAAATTGTTCAATAACTTCCAGGATTAAAGTTTTTAATTATCAATTTTTATTTACAATATTAAATTCAAATGTCGTTACCTGCGCATATATTTTAATTAAAAAATTTATATTTAACTATTAATATTTTAACATTATATTTGTTTACTTTATTATTATTTAATATAAAATTTAATGATAAGACTATAATCATAAAATTATCATATTATTTAAGTGATAATTATTTTATATATTAATTATAATAAAATATATAAAAATATAATTAAAATTGAAAACTCGTTTAGTACCTGCAGATACCCACTACCTATACGGATACTTACAAATAGTACAAATATGTGCACAAATATGCATTACCCGTACTCGCCTAATCCTGTTGGGATCGTACACCAAAGTTTAAAGAAGGTGAAACATATGTTACCTTATGAGAAATACAAGTGAGTGAATGGAGAAAAAATAGTGAGAATAAATTGTCCCCCTCAATTAAGTTTACTTACTTACTTTTCACTTATGTACCATTTCTAACTTTACACATTATTTTCATCTTTTATCTCTTATTTATCATTTTATGATATTCTACATATCTTTATTATTTAATGACTTGATTATCAAAGAACATTTTCAAATAACTCTCCATAAGCAAATCTAAACATCTCTTTGACTAAACTAGAAGAAGATTTCAGCAGATTCTCATAGAACTTCAAGTACTAGTATTAGTTGTTGATAATTGTTGTTTTGGGGTTGTTGTCACAACTCAAGTTTCAGCATATGACGTAGCTTCTACTATATAAAGGATAAACAAGCAATCTAATAATCAATTTTCCAAATCATTATTCAACTATTTGATAAATAAAAATACATGTCAAAGCATTCAAGTATTCATTAATTAAATTGCAAAACTCAATTGATTATTTTCGTTGGGTATAATCGCTTACCCAGTAGTTAAGAAACTAGTCACACCCGGAATACATATAATTCAATGATATCTTACTATTTGATGAGATTAATATCTATGTATTGATGGTATAAAAATGTATATACAATCAGTATATCATCCTCTACCCATTTGTATTATTTTTACTTAAAAGTCAATTAAAAATAAATAGTTGATAATTCAGTGATAGTGCAAAAAAAAAACTCTTACACTGTATATACATTTTTTTTCTCTTATTTGATAGATACTGATATTAAGCAAATGAAAAATATAGATACAGTAAGTGAGACAGAAAAAGATACAAAATTCCGCACATTAAGTAGTGTCTGTAGCTACATTCACAGTACAAGAGAATTCACAGGTATGCAAGAGGAATTCATCAGTCACTTGTAGATACAGAAACATTGAAATTTAAAAAAGCTGCTAAAAAGTTGAAAAACAACTTATATGGCATAAAAAATGCAAAGCACTGAAAAACAATAATGATTAATTCATTTATTCAAAAGTTTTTGCATACTTATAGCAAAGCAAGGTGCTCAGAAATTCAAACATAAAACCCCTCAGATTTAAGAATATCAGAAACGGTTAGTTTCACCATTTGACAGATTAACTGTCAGATACTAACAAAAAAACATTGCAAAAGGAACTAAGAAAGAAATAGGAAAAACTAGTGACATAAATTAGGGAATTGAAAAATGGTATCATACCAAAAACATAAGTAATAGGTGTCAGACATGGTTTTCTAGGCCACACATATCCATCAATAGTGCAGTAAAGACTGCTCAGAGCCCAGTGCATGTATCATCATTCACTATAACACTAACAACAATTTGCAAAATAGACCCTACCCAACAAAATAAATAAGACAGAAAAAAAAATACAAACTATAACACTTAAAAATCCAAGCAAACCCTTAAAACATGTTAATATTATAAATAAAAAAGAATCCAAATCCCTCGAATTAATAGCTTAATAAGAATAATTTAGGATATAAGCCAATTTACATGGCATAAATAAGAAAACTGCACTGCCCTCAGATCTCATAGCTTATAAGGATCATCTGTGGTTAGTTACATTAGTTTCGTTCATAACCTTCTTGCACCATAGAATAAATAAATTAATTAATAATATATACGCACGCACACATACACAAAGAGAGAAAGAGAGAAAGAGAGAGAGTGGTGCATGTCTGGCTATGAACAAAACTAAGCTACCATTCAATTGTATATTTGTGCATCATTGGGCAGCAACAACTTAACCTATAGTATGAGGAAATTTTCGATATTTCATTTCAGAGAGCAAAAAATTATACCCAATAAACTTGAAAACATCATAAAATTACACTACTTATGAATCTTGTGTTTGAAACCAAATAGATAAACAGTGTAAGCACTTGTTTATTTAGTTTCAGTTATTCGATATATACAAAAATAATATCAGTAAAATTGAAGGTGTCAGACATGGTTTTCTAGGCCACACATATCCATCAATAATAGTGCAATCAAAAAATTGCTCAGAGCCCAGTGCATTATCATCATTCACTTGCAAACCAACCCCAACTCAATAAATAAAACAAGAACACAAATAAAGAAATCAGAAAGAAAAACAATAGATAAATGAATACAATGGACAAGTAAAACATAGAAATTAAAGGCAACGTGAAAAAGAGGGTAACAACAATGAAGGGTGGAAGGTGATTATGGAAACACTAAGCAGTTACTGTTGAATAGTGTGGGAACTGCTATGTAGATGAGGTTATGAACAAAATAGTACAGCCGCTAAATAGGGTTTGATTTAACATTAGGGTTTCGAAGTGTGTGCGATGCAGTTATATGTTGTGAATGTCATATTCGAGAGTGAGCTTTTTATCTTGCGGGCCAGGTTCATGGGCCAATGAACATATATTTTGATATAACCAGTATATCCTCATACATACATGGGCAATATAATGCATCTTTTAAACCTCAATCCCCTTTATCACATAGACCTGTCAAAATGGCTTACTCGGATGGGTTCGGGCTAGTCCGATTGTGATTCAGGCTAAAATGGGTCGGGCTAAAAAGTCTGGTTAGATTTTATGTTGCTAAAAGTGAGGCCCAAACCCGCCCGAAACGGGCTGTGGTGGGCCGGCCCGGATTATTTTTTACTTAAAATTTTAAATAATATTTTACAAATTATTTATTATTTAGACACAAAAATATAATAAAATAAACAATTGTGACATTTTTTCACCAATTCTGCTATGTAGGTGGTTGATCTTCTTGCACCGTACCAAAGGGGAGGAAAGATTGGATTGTTTGGTGGTGTTGGTGTTGGGAAAACTATGCTTATTATGGAGCTTATTAACAATGTGGCTAAGGCTCATGGTGTGTGCTTAGTGCGGTTTATTTGTTGTTTGCAATATGTTTATGTCCATTTCTGTACTATGTGTTGACTGTTTGCCAATGGTCAGGTGGTTTCTCTATTTTTGCTGGTGTTCATGATACATAGTGAATAAAATGCATTTCGATTTGTAACTACTGGAAGGAATAGGATGAGTAGCTTACCTGAGATTTACGCTTTAGATGTCGAACTCTTCTTTTGCTTAATCCTTCGTGTTGTGTTCTATTGTGTATTTTTTGTGTTTTCAAAAATGAGTTTCTCTATGTTTTCTCTATTTTTTCATCTATGTTATGTGTCCTCAAGTAGAATGAGATGGAAAATTGAAAAACCAAAGGAGATGGGAAATTGAAAAGCCAAAGGAGATAGAAGAAAATGAGTAGCTGAGGCCCGAACCTGAACGAGTAAGCCCAACCCGAGCCCAAATTTATTGTGGCCCGATCGGGCTGGGCTAAAATCCCGGTTTAAGTAAAATACTCAAAATTTGGTATCCGAGCCCTATACTTTTTCGGGCTTTGGCGGGCTCACCCGCTACACCCGACCCATTTTGACATGTCTCATCACACTCATACATCTCCCTTAGAACAAATAGTGTAACTTGATATCAATGTAATATTCATGAGAGTCTTTAATCGTTAATAAGAACCATTTAATTATAATCTTAACATTATGATATTCAAATCTAATAGAAAAAGAGATTAAGGAATATATGTTTTCATTTTAGTTTCCTTTATGTTTCTGTGGCACTTCGGGTTACTTTTAATCTCTCCACCTTTCCTTTATGTGTCCTATGATAGTTAAGGCCTTTTGTTATTTCCTTTATGAAAAGCACATCACCTTCCTTAATCGGAAAATTTACTTATATGGTATAGGTGAAAAAGTTTATTACAATAATGGTGTAACTTTTTCTAATTTTACCCAAATGGTGTACCAATATGTTCTATAGACACCTTCTGTTACTGTACTTCTTCTTTAACTAATATGTACTTTAAATCCATATGTTTGGTACATCTAAAATGCATATCATTCTTAGAGAATAAGACAACTATGAAATTAACAAAATAAAAATTCAGTGTCTTAGCTACACTATCTGTTACTGCACTTCTTATTTAACTAATATGTAGTCTCAAAGCATGCCACAAATTCAACCTCAATGGTGGACGTGACAATTACATATTGTCTTATGTTTCTCCATGAAGTGGCTCCTCCAACCATTAGAAAGACATACCCAAACATATGTTTCATTTAGTCCACATTTTCGCATAGTCTGAATTCGAATAACTGATCACCTCAAGATGATCTGATCTTCTGTACATCAGTATGTGATCCTTAATGCCTTGTAAATGTCATAGTACCTTCTTTGCAGCCTTCTAGTGGTCCATTCCAATGTTACTTTGATATCAACCTAACATTCCAACACCAAAACTGATATTAGGCCGAATGCAAGTTCCAACATACATTAAAATCCCAACATCTGATTCATACTAAATAATTCTATTTCCTTACATTTCAAATCATTTTCTGGACATTGTTTTTCACTTAATTTGTCATATTTTTGGATTGGAACTATCCATGTAGAGGACTTTTCAATTATGAATTTCTCTAATAACTTATTGATATATTTCCGAGAGAATCCTAACAATCCTTGTGATCTATCACAAAATATTTATATTCATATCCATAGAATGTCTCAAGCATGTCCTTCATTTCTTAATTATTAGAAAGAAACTTATTTACATCATGTAATAGTCCTTTATCATTTGCAACAAACAGAATGTCATCAACATATATAACTAACATTACAAACTTGTTTCCAATGACTTTCATGTAGATACATCGGGCAATAGTATTTTCTGCAACTCCATATGACGTAATGGTATCATTGAACTTAATATGTCATTATATGGACGCTTGTTTGAGTTCATATATTGATTTTTTAACCTGCATACTATATATTTTCCTTTTCTATTGTCACGAACCCTTCAGGTTGGTTCACATAAACTCCCCCCTCTGTGTCACCATTTAGAAAAGTTGTATTTATGTCCTTTAGGGAAACTCTAAGTCATAATGAGCCATCAAAGCCATGATAATTCTTAAAGAATATTTCTTATAAATTGGAGAGCAAGTTTCTTTATAATCAATATCCTCTTTCTGAGTGAAACTCTTGGCGCCAAGTCTAGCCTTATATCTTTTAATGTTATCTTTCGAGTCACATTTGATCTTAAAGACCCAAAGACCCATTTATAGCCAACTTGTTTTGAACCTTTAGGCAACTCAACTTGATGCCAAGCTTTATTATCGTCCAATGGTTTCAGCTATTCTTTCATAACATTGAACCACATTTTAGATTTGTCTTTTTCCATGACGTGTATGAACGAGACTGAGTCTTTATCAATGTTCAAATCACATTCATGTTTAAGTGAGTATACAATATAATCGTTAGAAATAACTAATCTTTTTTGTTATTCAGAACTTGTTAATGCTATTTCTTGTGGTTCTTCCATTATTTGGTCATTAACAACTTCATTAATATTCTCATGAACTAGCTAGTTGTACATCCTTTAAGTTTTGAATATTATCTTGTTGTCTCTATGTGTTATTTGATGGAAATATAATAAGAGGAACAACAACGTGAGGAGATACATTTGTTGAAGAATATTTATCAGAAGTTTCCATAATACTTGTATTTCATGATTTGTCAGTCACACTTGTTTAGTCATTCTCAATTAACGTAACATTTCTTGACTCATTGACTCTTATATTATGGTTAGGACAATAAAATATATATCGTTTTAACTTTTTTGGATAACGGATAAAAAAAATTTCTTGAACGGCAATGTTGATTGAATTATTGTATTTCCCATGACAAGCCTTAGAGGAGTCATAGCCTTGGAGTTATATCATTTATTTTATTTTTTATATACGTATATATTAAAATATGTCATGAAATTAAACTAAAAGGCAACAAATGTAGCCCCACTTTAGTGCAAAAAAAGGAAATATCCATATCCATGATAATACCTTCTTCTAAGTTGACTCATAGTACTATATTTTAGGTTTGATACATTGGAAAGAGAAAATTTAATTAAAGGAAATATCCATATCCATGATAATATGTTCTTCTATGGAAGTTGTATCCTAGATTTATCATTAGAAGCTCTTAATCCTAATTTGGTTATTATGTCTATCAATATTGTAAAACCCATAATTTTCTATTTTTAATACGTGAGTGAAAAATATTAATTTTCTTTATTAGATTTATCTAAAAATAAATTAGTCGATTATCTTAAAAAATAATAAATCTAATAACAAATTTTTTGGTTAATTTTTAATGGAGTTATTTCTCTGAGATTATATATTTTTTATGTGGATAGTGAATCATAACCCATGTAACTGTTTCGAAGGTTCACAATTTTGTCCATGGTAAAAGGAGATATAAGACTCCCCAATATACATGTCTACCCGAAATAAATAAGATCACGCTTCACTCTTCAAATTGACATTTGTCCTGGTGAATAATGTAAAACTTACATTGTAATATTATGATCTACAAATAAAATAACACTAGTTTTTTTTATGAAGGAAAGACTCATATATACATCTTTAAAATTTTAATTCTTAATAAATAAAACTTACATCAAGCTATGAACATATGCATTATGATTTCAAAAGAAGATTAAAATACCACTAAGTAAAGGAGGACAAGCTCCATGTCCTTGGATTTGATCCAACTCCAAACTATAATTTTGATTAATTCTAAAACCTTATTCCACCAGCTTGAATTAAATCTAAGATTTATTACATAGGGTATATTGATCATTCCACTTAAACCGACTTTCAATGTCATTAAAAGACAAATTAATAACTAAAATTTGATATTTAAAACTTCCATTGAAAATTTCCACTTATCATTTTGATAATAAGTTTTATTTTTAATTTATTAGAAGCTAATCCAAATAGCCCGGTTTGTTTGTAACTTTATTTTTAAAGTAGTTACTTTATGTTATTTATACCCAATAGTGTGCTTTATAGTTTTTTATACAATTTATGCATTATGATATTGGATTAACATAGTCATCATATATTATTTTTGGAAATATTAATCATTATATTTAAACTAGTTAAATTAAGAATATAAAAGAGAGTACTAGATATCACATACCTCCAATCATATAATTGCAAAATGATTAGACAAAAATATATCTGAACTATATGATATACCCAGTAGAAGTGTCGAAACGGACTACCCGGACGAATTCGGGCTAGACCACATCGGATTCGGGCTAATCCAGGTCAGGCTAAAAAGTTCGGATATAAATTATGATTAATACATAATAAGGATTGCGATTAATACATAATCTCTACCAAAAATATATAATCTCTTTCATTCTATTAATTACTTTTAATTGAAAACCAACGGATGTACACTATT